GAAAGAAGCTGAAGAACATTTGAAAGGAATGGAAAAATGCTGCGGTCTCTGTGTGTTGCCATGGAATAAGTATGTTCGGTTAAGGAGAAGCCTTAATTGTTATTCAATATCTTTACCTTTTTTCCACTGTCATTTGGCACACATTGACATTTGCTGGAAAGAGTAGGTGTATGTGGGAGTATGACAGCCATCTGAACCTAATGCCCACGTACATCTGCTCTCAGTAATCGCCAGCAAATTCAGCTCGGGCGATTACTGAGGAAGTACGTACATCCTCTATCTCAATGGTTTTTCATGAGAAATATCTGCTCTGGTAGTTGGAAATGACTCTCTTTGACTCTCTACACCATGAACTTGTGCAGTGACTGACTCACTCATTCCAATGTAGAAGCCAAATATGCTTTTTCGAATCTTTTTGAATGGAAATCGAATGCATGGCGTATCCCGGGACAAGATATATGGGGATCACTCAACACTATGTGTTCTTGCAGTGGTTTACTGTTACATCGGTCCAAGTATTTCACAGTAATAACGTCGTCACCAAAGTACCGACCCAACTAGTTCCTTCGGAAGTAGTTAATATGGTCATAGTATCTCCTCGAAGAAGGTGACCACTGGGTTCGATATCGGGTATTTCCTCGAGGCCAATACATAGTTTAAACAAACACATTCCTGGATGCAAGTAGAATGCATGGCGCATACAAGGAGGGTTCTGAGTCTGAGCCACTGATCCTTTCTGTTTATTTTTGGCCCATTTGTCGCTCAGTTTCTCTTGTTTAACATCAATCATTCATTTTGAACATTATCTCGAAGATTTCTTGAGAGGATTTGCTCAGAAATGGTAGGAATACGGTAGTGTACAGTTTTGTGGATGTTTCGGATGTTTCCTTTTTATAAATACTATTTTCCTTTGATCTACCTATTCTGATATTTTTATTCACTGTGCCATTTCAGAGCTGACGACTTTGAGAAGAACTCAGAATATGCGAAAGCATGGAAAAAGGACGATGATGGTGGTGTGATCTCAGATCAGCCTAGGATCACGGTTGGTGATTCGTCAATGGGACCACAAGGTGGATATGTGACCAGGTTTGTTGATGCTCTTCACAGAATACCACTCCTTGAATCACTTGTTGAACTTCACATTAGGTCATAAATATAACTTGCTTGTAAGGCGGGGAAAGTTTATTACACGCACAGTTCGGGGACAGGGTCCTGGATGAATACCCGCCCGGGATAACCAAGTCATCCATTTTTCCGGTGTCGATTAATTGGTATCAGATTCGTCTGGGAGGATGAAAGCACTGAATTGTACATTGGCTGCCACTGCACGTCATTGTAGAGGTCACATACGAATTAAAAACACCCGACTGCTGTGAATGGTAGTCAAACGCAGGGCGCATTCCGCAAATGGGCTTGGTAGCCGTCGAAAGAATTCATCCTCATTTTCTACTCCTACACCTTGAAAATCATTACTGCGAATTCTCTTGTTAAAATGAATTGCACATGGTTCTGCCCACAGGCTAACTGTAAGTTAATTCTGCACTGGAAAAAAAAGGCTTTCACTCGTCGTAGACCTAATGGCACAGGAGAACTCACGGGGGACGAAAAAACGTTAGCCTGCACATATACTTACCATTTTATGGGGTATTTTATGCTTTTAGCGCATATACATACATAGCTCGTCTCAAAGCGGTCTAATGGGGACCAAACTACTTGCTCTTCAGTTCCTATCGATTTCAATTTTGTTAAAGCTTTCTGAGTTTTTAAATATTTTTCGTCCCATTTAACTATTTGTATTACAGGATCACAAATGATGCTCGTGAAGACGAAATGGATGAAAATATCCAACAGGTATGTTTGGATTACTTCTTCACAGAAGAATACTAGTAAAATTTGTGTGTTTCCTACCTCAAGCTGCTTGTTTTTCCCACTCAGATTTCGCTTCTGTTGTCCTCGTCGGGATTAATCATGACCTAAACGAAATTGGCTTGTCAGTATGATTTCCCAGAATATCCTCACAAAATTTTTTCTCAGACCTTATAGGAAGGAGTGACAATCACCCTCGCCGAAAACATCATTTCATGCGGAACTGTTACCGTTACGGTTGAGGATGTTTTACTGTAGCTGGCTAACGTGCTGAAAATTCTCATCTCCTTTTCAGTCCCGTGTCAGGGTGCGCAAGGTAACGTTACAGAGGTAACGATGTGAATACTCGGGTACAAAGTCCGCCACTACTTTCGATACACAGGATTGCTATTGATCCCATTCCTTGGCTTCCGCGGAATTTTTCAGTTCTTGGATTCTCTGCCTTAATTTTTCTTACCTTGAAAGCTCATAGCTCAAGGATTTCTCTTTGAATAGTGAAAAGTGCAATATGTCCAACATTTCCATAAGTCTCTAGCTCGCTGCTCAGAAAAAAAGAAAAAATTGACCTTCATGTTCTGAAATCACCCAATCAGCATAACAAAAGACTATTTCAGGTATCCACAATGGTCGGAAATCTGCGTAACATGGCCATTGATATGAGCACAGAGGTCTCGAACCAAAACAGACAACTTGACCGCATACATGATAAGGTGAGTGCTCCCCAGGCATGATAGTTGCCCTGTAGTGCTCAAGTCCCTATTGGGACAAATGTTGGCCAAGTTAAGCCCATAAATGCTATCAATTTTGATGCACTTGCTTGGAAGGATCAATCGCCGGCTCAAGCGCACCTAATATTGAACGTCGCGCTGTTTCTTGACCTAAATGAGTATTCAAAAATTCGTGGCAAAAGGAGTGCGAGCCGAATGCACGGCGCATCCTGGAAAAACCGATCGCGTCATGATATCTGCTCCATTCTTTATTAATTATAATGCTTTTCAGGCACAATCGAACGAAGTTCGTGTTGAATCGGCA